CAATAAATAAAGTTTTTTTTAAAAAAGACCAGTCCAGTTTGGTTGCTGTGCACTCAGTTAGCAAGTAGGTTGTTGCACTAGTCCAGTAGAAGGGTGGTGGTGGGTTACACTTGGTTGCCTTAGAGATGGAAAGCACCAAAAGAATTAGTAGCTGAGCTCTTAACCACTGCGCCACCAGGGCTCCAAAAGAATTAATAACCCACTGCTCTTGAGTTGATTCCGACTCATAGCGACCCTATAGGACAGAGTGAAGCTGCCTTATAGAGTTTCCAAGGAGCAGCTGGTGGATTTGAACTGCAGACCTTTTGGTTAGCAGCTGTAGCTCTTAACCACTGAGCCAATAGACATCATTAATAAAACAGGGTAGAGTCGAGAGGTTGCCACTGATCAACACTCTTTAAAGTTGGTGATTTTGACAGTTTTTAGTTCATATGACTGTCCAATCACTGCCTCTCCCCACCCCCTGTTATGGTTAATGTTATATGTCAGCTTGGCTATGCTTTGATTCTCAGTAGTTTGGCAGATACTGGGCTGGTTACTCTTCCGTAATGTAATACAATCACTTTCCATGATGTGATCTGATGTGATCAGCCAGTCAGTTGAAAGGGGAGTGTCTTTGGGGACATGACCTACTTCCAGCATATAAATGGATGTTCTGGCAAAGCTAGTTCTCTCTACCTTACACTCATCACCTGACCTCCCAGTTCCTGGGACATAAGCCTGCAGAAGTCTGTCACCTGCCACTTGATCTGCAGATTTGGATTCGCTAGCCTCCTCAATCCCTTGGGCTGGATCCAAGTATCTCTACTCATATTGTTACATCACATTAATTTAGACTCTGCCCCTTAAAGTTCTCAGCTATGCTTTAGATTAACTATTGTTAGTTTGAGTTCATATAGATCTTTATAAGCATGTGGTGTTCAAGGCAACCATTCTTTATTAATTGAGCTGTATGGTTTAGTTTAACGATGGCTTCATGGGATAGTTTCAGGTCAGGGTTTGAAGAGTATTTCTGGGCAATAGATTCAAGGGTCTCCCCATTCTCAATGGATTCAGTAAGTCTGGTTTCCTTATGAATTTGAAGTTCTTGTCTCTGATTTTCCTCCTTTTGATCAGGATCCATCTGTTGGGTCCTTGATCAATACATTTAGTAATGGTAACCAGGAACCATCCATTTCTTCTGGTCTCATGGCAGAGGAGGTAGTAGTTCATGGAGACAATTAAACCTGCAGTCCATCTCCTGTGATTCCTGAGTCTCCTTCTTCCTCTGCTGTTGCAGGCTAATAGAGATCAATTCATCAACTGTTGTATTTTGGGTGGCCACTCAAAAGCTTTTAAGATCCCAGATGCTACTCATCGAACTAACAGAAACTATAAAAATAACTGCAGAACAACTGACCTTATAGACCCCCGACGCCATTACCCTAAACTTTCAAACCAAGAAAACTAAGTGTTTAGTTATACCTAAGTAGTATCAATAGGCGCAGCCTTTTTTTTTTTTTTTTGGCTGCTGTTGTAATTGTAAAATTATATTAAATGCTTTATTTGCCATTTCACACCCCCCTTTTCTTTTCTGGTGTACAGCTACTTTAGTCAAGTTGTGTACCTATTACCCTTAGTCGATGTCCATGTTCGCCAGTGGTTACATCTTATATCAAAACCAGGAAACTGACATTGGTCTAAAGTATATGATTGTATCACATGTGTAGGTTTCTGTAACCACCACCTCACTCGAGATAGAGAGCTATCCCTTTACCACAAAGATCTCCTTTGTGCTTATAGCCACAATTACCCCTGCCCCAACAATACCATTCCCTAGCCCCTGGAAGCCACTCATCTGTTCTCCATCGATATAATTTTGTTATTTCAAGAATGTTATATAAATGGAATCGTATAGTATATAACCTTCTGAGAATGGCTTTTTTCCCCTATTCAACATAATTCTCTCAAGAGCCGTCCAAGTTGTTATGGAAATAAGAAGATCCATGTATCTAATATGAGCCCCAGGAGGCCATAATAAAGAGAGTAAGATAGAGACAATATTTGAAGAGATAAGACTAAGACTTGCCCAGAATTTATAAAAGATATGAATTCTTAGATCCAAGAAGTCCCAAGCAGGATAAATAGAAAAGAAATCTACACCTAACCACGTGGAGGAGAAATTGCAGACCTTAAAGTTTACCTCATATGTTCCCATTCTTAGGAAACTATTGGAGAATGTGCTCCACCAAAACAAAGTAGTAAGTCAAGAAAGAGGAAGATGTGGGATACAGGAAACTGGAGATCTAACATGAGAGAGGGTCCAAGAGAATCCCTGGAAGAGGTGAAGGAGAATCCTATGATTGACTGCTGGCTCCAGGCAGAGGGCAAACATCTGGACTAGAGCACTTCAGAAGGTACTAGAATGTTGAGAGAGAGCATTTATTCATTTGGTAGAGAATCTGGTATTTAATTAGGGATAATTATATACATAATACATTGAAAACTAAGAAACCAACAAACAAACACAAAATCATTGTTATAACAATTTTCATAACAAAAAATTGTGCAGAAAAGATGAAAGTAATCAGTTTACTGCATGATTCAGTTATAAATAAAATTTACACAGATATAATAATGTAAATGATCTAATTAATATTGTATATAGCTATATCACGAGGATAGGATAATGGACAGGGTATACACGTGTGGTGGAGGTGTAATAAAAAAGAGCTAAATCCTCATCTTCACAGTGAAAAATCAAAGAACAAAGCTTGAGTTGAAAACTCAAGAAGTAGTGAGTGACACATCCATGCTGCTTAAAGACATGAGGGTAAATACTAAAATAATCAACTAAAAAATGATTGAAGGAATTACCTGGTAGTGGCCGTGGCAGGAAGGAAAGGAAAAAGGACGGGCTGTTTTTTATAATAAACATTGTAGAATTATCTGTCTCTTTTTCATAACAGATGTAGAACTCTCCATCACTTTAAATTATAGGTTGTATAGCTTTGATGGAGCCCTGGTAGCACGGTAGTTAAACACTCGACTGCTAACCAAAGGGTCAGTGGTTCAAACACCCCTGCCGCTCCACTGGAGAAAGATGTGGCAATCTGCTTCCGTAAAGATTATAGCCTTGGAAACCGTATGGGGCAGTTCTACTCTGTCCTATAGGGTCGCTATGAGTTGGAATCGACTTGATGGCAGTGTGTTTGTTTTTTTGTTTTTTATAGTTTTGATATAAATTAAACACTAAATGTAAGAAAAAGTGAGAGTTGCTCAATTTTACTGGAGATCAATATTCAAAAATCAATTGTATTCCTAAAACAGTATCTCAAAAAATATTTTAAAATCTATCAATTGAAAGAAACAGCATGGTTTGATTATCTGATGTTCTTAGGGTCTGATCCTGCCGTTTGTTTCTACTGATGCTCACTGTCTTAGTTACCTAGTGCTGCTATAACAGAAATACCACAAATGTGTGGCTTTAAAGAACAGAAATTTATTTCCTGACAGTTCTGGAGGCTAAAAGTCCAAATCAGGGTTTTGACCATGTTCTTTGTCAGTAGCCCCAGATATTCCTTGGTCCTTGGCTATCCTCACATGGCATCTGTCTTCCCCCCATGTGTGCTTGCTTCTCTGAGTCTTTGCTGCTCTTTATATAACTCATAAGTGATTAGGTTTAGGATCCACCCAACACTGGTATAACCTCCACTGATTGATTACATTCCAATAGATTGCATTATGAGAGGTGATTACATTACATTAGATTAGATAACATCCACAGGTATAGGGAGTAGGATTTCAACATATATTTTAGGGGGCACAATTCAATCCATAATATTCACTTACAGTGAAATTCTTCTCATGTATTTTGTAATTTTGGGTTTTAAACTTATCTTCAGGAGAAGGTTATCTGTTGGAATATTGTTTGACCTAGATTAAGGAGGTGTCCCTCTGGAGACATTTTATTTGTTCTGTGGACACCCAGCGTGCATTAGTTCAGGACTCCTTTTTGTGTTAATTTCTCAGTTTTGGACAACTTGGCAATGCCCTCGTCTCTGCCCATACTCTCCACTTTGGGCCACTGCCGGGTCGGCTCAGCTGCCTTGCTCTGGCTTTCAGTTCCCTTTTTATTTTTAGATCCTGGTGATTTCCTTTACTCTCTTGCAAGCTCTGCCATGCAGTTAAAAGAAAGTTTATTTATAGCTGATCTAGCATTTCTAGGTGTTTTGTAGTAGGAAGGTTTTTCAGGTCATCTTATCCACAACACTGCCCTTTATACTTTTTACATTTAGAGATGAAGGGGTTGTGGGAGTTTCAGAGAAGAAAAGTACATCTGTCTGGGAGGATCAGGAGAAAGACCTTAGAGAAGCTGAATATTGAAGGATAGGGACACGGGAGGGGGCGCAGCAGGTACAAAAGGAGGGAGGCAGGAAATGAGGATGCAGGTATGGAGAAAAGCTCCTCACTCTCACTGGAGTACAGTGTCTGTGTAGGGGAAAATGAGGTTGGAGCAGGGAGCTCTTAAATGTCACACAGCAGGGAGTAACATGCTCATAAGCCTTGTTTCAGGAAATTTAAGCTGGAGGAATGTCCAGGACAAATGGGAGCGGAGGGTGGCAGGAGGGAGAGGGATTTGGATTTGGAAAGATGGCCTGGGAGGCTGTTGAAATAGCCCAGGTGATGGGTAGTACAGCCTGAATGAGGGCAGTGACCGTGGGAGTGGAGAGGAGGGAATCACTGGGAGAGACAGATGAAGAAATCTGGGCCAAGAGATGGGGAAAAATAACAGAAAAGCCAGGCAAGATCATTGCCTGAATTCTGGGAAATGAATTTGAAATATCAACAATTATCTGAGCTGTTTTCTACCTTTTAATATTTTTCAACTGCCTGCAAACCCTCATCAACGGTTCATCCTGACTCTATACGCAGCTAAGGATGTTTTTAGGGCCTTTGATGAGTCATTGTCTTTGATTAGAGACAGCGTGTCCTAACAGAGCTCCCGAAAGTGAGTTGGGATGTTTTTGGCTCTCCTAGAACCTGCTGACATGGCTGATGGAGGAGCTGATGAGTCGTCTTCCAGGACAGAGAGTTTGGATGGGGAAGTTCGGGTCTCTAAGGACAAATTGCTGCTCCGTCAGAGGCTGGCTGTCCGGGAGCTCGTGGATACCGAGGTCTCCTACTTGCACATGCTCCAACTCTGCACCTGTGACATCAGGGGCCGCCTGCAGCAGGTACTGGGGTGGGGCCACAGACAGAGGTCTTTACAGGGGCCGACTTGGTCCTGGCATCTGAGACTTCACAGCCTTTCCAGGAGTAAGCTTGATGGAGGGGAAGCCCTGGTGGGTGTGAAGTCTGACAGAGCTGGATCAAGCCTCAGTACAGGTAGTCCCTGACTTAAGATGGGCTTCAGTTCCAGACTACTCCATTGTAAGTCGGTTCCGACGTAAGTCCAATACCTTTTTTTTTTATTATTATTATTACCTTTTATTATCAGTATCTTTATAAATCTGATCTTTATTTGTCAGTGAGTGAACATCCCAGAATGATAATCAGCAAATTACACACTGCAACGTTGTGTTGTATGTAGTACATATTACTAATGATAAGATACGAAAAAAAAAACCAAAGCGACAGTCGTTAAGTGCGGTTTGTCTTCCTCGAATGTGTCGAAAGTCCGGGACTACCTGTAATTCCATGTTTTGGCCATGCAACCTTCAACAACACCTTTGATTGCCTGAGCGTTAGTTTATTCATCTGCTAAATGGGGACAGGAATAATCACCTCAGAGAATTAAGTGAGATAATGGATAAAAGCCCTTTATCAAGTTTAGAAAAGATTGCTTAAACTGACCCACAGTTTTAATTGTCTCAATTAGGGGATGGTGACAGAGAAGTTGTCACTATGATGGGGTTCTCTTTTTCTATTTATTTTATATATATACAATTTTTTTCTTGATTTCAGAAATAATACAGGCTCTCTCTATAAAATTTCAAGCATCCTCTAGCATATAAGCTCCACAAAGGCAAGGACTATTGTTAGTTCAGTATCTCCCTGACTCATACATAACAGACTTTCAGTGAATATTTCTTGAATTAAGGAGATAATAAAGTGGATAGCATGCAAGGTGAAAAATCTTCTCTTATTTCACTCTCAAGAGATTAAGATTTCTCTCCCTAGATGTTAAATATATGTTGTCATTTATTTTAACAAAAATGAGAACATGCTCTAGACATTGCTCTGTGGTTAGCTTTTTGCACTTGACCATGCATCCAAGACATCCTTCCAAGCCCTTGCATATAGACGTCCTGCAAACTTTTTAACAGTTGTATAGCCTAGTGAGTAGGGCTGGAGCCTAGAATGCATCTCTTCATAATGGTGGTAGGTGCCAAGTGTTCAGAGCTGGAAAGAAGTCCAACTTCTTGCCGCTATTGGACAGATGGGGATACTGAGAAAAGAAAAATGCTTGTTGGCAGCAGACCTAGGATAAAACCCCAGTCCAGTTTTCCTTCCATGCTGAGTAGTCAATCTCTTCCTCTCTTCTTACAGAGTAATGACAATGTCTAATGAGTAAAATTTAAAAAATCTGTTGCAAACATTACATTGGGACGGTAAGTCTTTCCAAGCATGATGGGACCCTGATGGTGTGAGTGGTCTGGACTGTTCTGCAGTGTCTGCAGATCCAATCACTCCACGGAACTCCCAACGACCTCCCATGGTTTCTTTGTTCCTTCCAGCTGCCACAGGGAGACCTGGATGTCCTGTTCTCAAACATCGATGATATCATCCAGGTGAACAGCAGATTTCTTCATGGCCTGCAGGAGACGGCCTCCACAGAAGAGGAACAAGTGCACCTAATTGGTAAGCAAAAGACCTAGGGAGTGGTCAGCCTCAGATTCCCAAGGATTGTCCTCAGCATGTGGTCATTGCTGAACTGTCTCCAGAATTCTGGAGAAATGCAGCTCATTGGGAGTCTGTTTTTGGAATTCTTGAAACACAGTGTGTCAGAACCAGCAGGGCTTGCAAATAATATCTAGTCCAACCTTATCACTTTATAGATGAAGAGACTGAGGCCCAGAAAGACATCCCCATGGTCATGCACAGCTGAGTCTTTAGTCTGAGTCTCTCTTACATTCATTCATTCATTCCAGAGTCTGCCAGTCACTGTGCTGTGTGCTGGGGTGACAAGTTAGTAAGAGAGATAGAAAATAAACAGATACATGAGAATTTTAGGCAGTAATTTATAATTTGAAGAAAATGAAACAGTTGTAGTAACTTCTTAAGGAGAAGACATTGGAGCTGAGACCTAAATGTCAGGGAAAAGTCAGCCATGAGAAAATCTGGAGGAAGAGGAGAGAGAATAGCTATGCAAAGGCCCTGAGGCAGGGATGAGTATAGAAGATCTGAAAGAAAGCTGTTTGGTGTGGATTCAGGGGAGTAATAGAGGATAAGATAGAAGAGACAGACCAGACCATGCAGACTTATAAGCCATGGTAAGGAGTTTGGATTTTATTCTAAGTGTGATAAGAAGTATTGGATAGTTTTGAGCAAGGGAGTGACATGGTCTGACTTATGTTTTTCAAGATCTCTTTGGATATCATGGGGAATGGATTGTGAGGGAGTGGAGAGAGTGGAAGCAGAGAGACCCATTGGGGGCTTTACGGTGATCCGGGTGAGAGATACAGGTGGTCCCCTTATCCTGGAATGGTTAGGATCAACAGAGGGTGGGTGGAGCATAAGAAGGGATTGGGTGTAAACCTCACACCTGTCTCTTTCAGTCACTTCCCATCCACTGCCTGGGGGTGCTTGACAAAATGTCCAGGGTCAAGGGTTTTCCAGTGGAGTCAGGAGATGAGGGTGAGGGGGTGTCAGGTTCTTGCCCTAAGCAACTATTACTGGTGTTCTAATGTTAAGTTCTAATTAGTGGTTTATTTTATTTAGCCCAATACAATGGCAGAGAGGAGAAGGGTGTTAGGGTGTCCAGTGCAATGGCCAGTGAAGTCCCTCTGGCCTTTACACAACTAATCTTCCATCCTTACCTAGACATAAACGTTATGGGTATTAAAAAAAACCAAATATACAAACAAAATACCCACTTTCTGAGTGTTCACTAAATGCCAGACACTGGTCTGATCTACATGTATATGTTTAATCCTCACAGCAACCCTAAAGGTAGATACTGTTCTCTCATTTCACAGTTGAGCAGACTGAGGCTCAGAGAGAGGAAGTAACCTGCTCAAGGTCACGCCTCTAGTGGCAGAGCCAGAGTTTGAACCCAGACAGTCGGCCAGTGCTCTGAACTGTCACACTGAATTGCTTCTACATAGTAGAGTAGTGAGATTAAAGCCCGTGTATTATGTGTTATTTTTCCTTTGAAAACATAGTTCTTTACTAAAATGGCAACACGAATGAGATACTTTCCCCTCTAAATGATAGATGAATACAAAATTAAAGAACAAGATTTTAAAAATGTGTCTGAGTAGATGTTCTCACCCTTTAATTATTTTATTCTTATTTGTGTTAATAATTACCACTTATTTGAGTGGAAATTCAAATGACCTCAGGCTAAAGGCATTCTAAGGGTCAGAGGACCTTGAAGTGTCAAAAGAAACTGAGTCAATAATAAAATTAATCTATTAGATGAGGTTTATTAAGGCAGAAGATTCGAGAATCGGGTGGCATCAAACCACATGTGGAGAAGTACTCCACTGATTATCAGCAGAGATTGGCTTATAGCAACAAAACTCAGAAGCAAAAGAAGCTTATTTCTGATTGACTTATACAATTTACGATTGAAAGGCTATCAGGATTTCATTGGTCAACGAGGGTGGAAGCAAGGTCAGAATCTCTTTGGTCAACGAAGGTGGCCTGATTTACAGGAAAGCTAGGCTTAAATTTCTGTAAAGGCAAGTCTAAGACGTGTTGTCAACACAGCTGCTGCTGCCATTTTATCAACCACATGACTCTACTTTTATTTCATTTAACAGAAGTCAGGCTTTTCATTTGCTATGGGTTCAATGTTTGACGTGGCTCCTTGTTGAGAGTCCTTGCTTGTCTCTCTGCCTTCCTGCTTGACCTGCAAAGAGTAAAGATGCCGCTGTCCCCCGAGCACACCTGATGACATCTGCGGTTGCCGCCTTCACCGCTTCCCTGGTAGGGTTGCCAGAAAGGATAGAAGAGGTCTAATTAAATTTGAATTTCAGATAAACAACGAATCATTTTTTAGTGTTAGTATATCATATGCAACATTGGGGGCATACTTATACTAAAAATGATCCATCATTTATCTGAAATTCAAACTTAACTGGGAGTCCTGTATTTCTTTCCCCGAAACCTGGCAACCCTGTTATTCCCTAGCCTTTAGAGAGTCTACAGAAAATGGCCTCCTCATTCTCTGCCCCTTGTGGTTAGCCAGAAAGGAGGCACAAGAACCCACATGGCTTTTCTTCTCGTTGGGGCAACTATGTGCCAAGTTGGGGCTGCTCTGGCTCCTGCCAGCTCTCTCTCCATTCTCCTTGTACGCTCCCGGCCCCCCAGGCCTTGCTAGAAAATGAAGACCCTTTTCCTAACCTGGTGGCTACAGCATTCTGAAATAATTTTGATGTCATGGAACAATTTGTATATAAATTGTTGAATGGGAAACTAATTTGCTCTGTGAACTTTCACGCAAAGCACAATAAAATGGTCAGAAATAAATAAAACAATTTTGGACCTCTGGCAAGACTATCTTTTACAGACCGTTTTCTCCTAAACAAGTTGAGTTCCCTTTCCTTATGAACGATTCAAAACACAACTTGGATGTACATAGGAGTTCCTGCACAGGCTCACATCACCAGAAGGCACCATGGCCGAGTGCAGAACTGTCCAGTAGAAATATCATGTGACTGGGCTGAGGGCTGGGGACCATGTCTTGGAGGACATCTAGCTCAATTGGCATAACATAGTTTATAAGGAAAATGTTCTACATCCTACTTTGGTGAGTAGCATCTGGCGTCTTAAAAGCTTCTGAGTGCCCATCTTAGATACGTCTACTGGTCCCACCCCGTCTGGATCAAGGGAGAATGAGGAAAACCGAGGACACAAGGGAAAGATTAGTCCAAAGGACTAATGGAACACAACTACCATAGCCTCCACCAGACTGAGTCCAGCACAACTAGATGGTGCCCGGCTACCACCACTGACTGTTCTGACAGGGATCACAATAGAGGATACCAGACAGAGCTGGAGAAAAATGTAGAACAAAATTCTAACTCACAAAAAAAGACCAAACTTACTGGTCTGACAGAGACTGGAGAAACCATGAGAGTATGGCCCCCAGACAACTTTTTAACTCGGTAATGAAGTCACTCCTGAGGTTTACCCTTCAGCCAAAGAATGGACAAGCCCATAAAACAAACAATAGTACACATAGCTCAACCATGTATGTGAGACTAAATAGGCACACCAGCCCAGGGGCAAAGACGAGAAGGCAGGAGGGGACAGAAAAGCTGGATGAGTGGAAATGGGGAGCCCAAGGTCAAGAAGGGGAGAGTGTTGACACGTCGCAGGGTTGGCAACCAGTGTCACAAAACAATATGTGTATTATTGTTTAGTAAGAAACTAATTTGCTCTGTAAACTTTCACCTAAAGCACAATTAAAAAAAAAGAAGTCGTAGAAAAAAATATTATGTGAGCCACAAATGTAAAGTTTTCAAGTAGCTACACTAAAAATAATTAAAGAAGGAGGTGAAGTTTTAATGATATATTTTATTTAACCCAATATATTCCAAATAATATTTCAACGTGTAATCAGTATAAAAATGATTAATTATGAGATATTTTACTTTTTTTTTGTACTTCGTCTTTGAAATCCGATGTGTCTTTTTCACTTAAGCACCTCTCAGTTTAGACGTGCCTTATTTCAAGTGCTCGGTAGTCACATGTGGCTGGTGACTGCTGTATGTGGGCAGTAGAGTCTAGTGGTTTAGAGCAGGGGCTTTGGAGTACAACGGACAAGGCTCCACCACCCACAAGGTACTTCACATCTCCGAGCCTCGGTTTCTACCTCTTTAAAATGAGCATGACATTAGTACCCATCTTCTGTGCTAATCATGGTGGCACCAAGTACCTAACATGGAGTAGCCCTTTTCATTCTCACATCATTACTTGTTACCTATTATGATTATCCCTATTTACTAAAAAAAAACAAAATAAGACAAAAAAACCCTGAGGCTCCAATCCGTTAAGTAACTTTCTCAAGGTCACACAGCTTGACCAGGTAGAGCTAGGGTTTGAATCGAGTGCTTTGAGCCCTAGAGCCCTAGCTCTTAACCATTTTGCTTCTCTTTCTCTCCTTTCTGACTAATTCCAGCTAGAGGTAGAGTGTCCTTTTGATGTTGGCAGTACCTTCTTTACTAATCTGTGACTCTAGAAGGACTAACCAAAAAACCAAACCCACTACCGTTGAGTCAATTCCAACTCATAGTTGAGTCGATTCGGACTCATAGCAACCATATAGAACAGAGTAGAACTGCCCTATAGAGTTTCCAAGGCTGTAAATCTTTATGGAAGCAGATTACCACATCTTTCTCCCTTGGAGCGGCTGGTGGGTTCGAACCACTAACCTTTTGGTTGCAGGCAAGCCCTTTAACCACTGTGCCACCAGGGCTCCAACTAGAAGGACTAGAGCCTTTATTTTGGTGCCCCAAGCATTCCTATCTCTTTGGGCAACTCTGCTCTCTGGGAGTTTGCTTTTCTCCACCCTTCAGTTACTGAAAACATCCCTGTCCCTGGCCAGACTGGTTAGGATATAGTTTATTCGGCATCAGTCACATTCCTGAGGATGCACTCATGTTGCGGAGAATGTGGGAACCACTCTAGATTTCATGGCCACGCCCTTGCCATCTCCTAGGAGGGTCTTCTCTGCAGTTGGCTGATGTCTTCCCTATCATGTGGGTTCTCCTTAGCTGCAGTTTTTGGGTGATCTTTCCTGGTCCTGCTCTCCCTGGTTCTGGGGCTCCTCCTCCTGGAGTTATCTTTGAGGACTGGCTGGACCAGCACTGGGGAAGGGGTTTCGTCTTGGGGTGGTAGTCTTGCGGTGGGTGTCTTCTTTTCTGAGAGCTGAACCATCTAGGTACAATCTGATGTATCCCAAGGGTGTCTGGTTCAGGTCAGAGGTCCAGCCCCTGGCTTAAGCAGGCAGTAGGGTCAGCCGGACTTCCTGTGGTCCATGGCTCCCCACCTGTCCTGTTGTGGTTAATACATTTCTTTTCACCCCACCCCTTCCTCCCTAGATGGTAGAAGCTCTTGCCTCGACATTTGTGATAGCCTTCTAATACTCCCTCCGTTTTTGCTTTCCCTTAGTTTAGTCTAGTTCAATAATACAGTATTGATTTTTTAAAACTTTTATTTTGAGATAATTTTAGACTTACTGAAAATTTGCAAAAATAATACAAGTTCCCATATACCCTTTACCCAGCTTCCCCTAATTTTAACGTCTTACATACTCATGGTGGAATGATTGAAACCAGGAAATTAACATCAGTGCCATACTATTAACTGCTCTACTGACTTTATGCAAATTTTACCAGTTTTCCTATTAATGTCCTTTTTCTGTTCTAGGGTCCAACCCAGGATTCCACATTTCATTTTGTTACCTTGTGACCTTGTTGTTGTTAGATGCTGTTGAGTGGATTTTGACTCATAATGACCCTGTAGGACAGAGCAGAACTGCCCCATAGGATTTCCTAGGCTATAATCTTTATGGGAGCAGATTGCCAGGTCTTTCTCCTGAGGAGCTGCTGGGTGGGTTCGAACTGCCAACCTTTTGGTTAACAGTCGAGGACTTAATCGTTGCTTCATGTGACCTTACTCTTCTTCAGTCTGTGACAGTTCTTCAGTCTGTGTCTTTCGTGACCATAACACTCTGAAGAGTCCAGGCCATTTATTTTTGTAGGAGATCCCTCCATTTGGGTTTTTCTGATTTTCTTTCATTATTAAATTGAAGTTATGCATTTTTTGGCGAGAATCAATGTTGTGTCCTTCACAGCACATCGTATCAGAGGCACATGATGCCTCTGTGTCTTTTTACTTATGGTAATGTTAGCTTGGAGCCCTGGTGGCACAATGGTTGAGAGCTCGACTGCTAACCAAAAGGCTGGCCGTTTGAATCCACCAGCCGCTTCTTGGAAACCCTATAAGGCAGTTCTACTCTGTCTTATAGGATCACTGTGAGTCAGAATCAAGTGGATGGCAACGGTTTCTGTCTTTTTGGTAATGCTGTCTTTGAACACATAGCTAAGATAATATCTGCTAGGTTTTCCACTGTCGATTTATTATTTTTCTCTTTGTAATTACTAACTGTCTTGTGGAGGGAAACTTTGATATACAAATGTCCTGTTTCTTCTCAAACTTTCGCCCGCTGATTTTAGCATCCATCAATGGTTCTTGCCTGCAACAGCTATTACTGGTGTTTTCATGGTGATTTTCTATTTCTCTTATTCCTTCTACATTAATTAATTGGAATTCTTCTAAAAGGAAGAGCTGCCCTTTGTCCCCCATTCATTTCTTTATTCAATTATGTATTTATATCAATATGGACTCGTGGGTATTTACTTTATTCTATGGATTATAATCTAATGCTTTCTTCATTTTCTTGTGTTTACAATTGGGAGCACTGTCAAGTTGGCTCTTGTGTCCTTTTAATATGCCCCCATCAATTTTTGAACACCTCTTTACTTTCTAACACTGCCAGATGGTCCAGGCTCATCTTGTATTTTTTCTGCCCTGACCTTTGAATCAGCCATTTCTTCTAGGAGCCCTTGTCCCTATTTTTGGAGAATGGTATTTATTTAGAAACCAACTTCTAGGTGCTAGGTGTACTCATTGCTACTGGGGTGTCATTGCTCCTAGGCCCTGTCAGCTGACAGAGCTAGGAAATATATGCATGTATGCTAACATGTGCACATGCATATCTGTATTTCTTTCTGTATCTATCCATCTGTATGTATATTTAAAACTATGAGTTCATACTGATACCTCAGTTCCAATCCATCCATCCATCCATTTAACCATCTATCTTTATCTATCTATCTATTGTTTATTTACTGACTTCTCCACTAGAATATAAGCCCCATGAGGCAGGGGCTTGATTTTGTTCACAGGGTTTAGAACAGTGCCCGGCACATAGTCAATAATAAACTCTCGGTAGATGTTTGGTGAATGAATGAATTTTGTGTCAGGTACTTTACATGCATTATTTCACTTAATCCTCACAAACAATGCTGTTGTGATTCTCATTCTGTAGATGAGAAAATGGAGGATTAGAGAGGTCAGACACTTGCCCCCAGGTTACATGACTGAGAAAGGGTGGACCGGAGGCCTCGCCCTCGCTCTCTCCAGCTCCGAAGCCCCCACACTTAACCACCGGTGCTATGCTACAGTGTGTCTTGATAAACAGGGGGAGGGGTCTGAGCAGTACTTGCCACACACAGTAATTGTAAAGGTACGATGGGCTAGTGGTAGTGAGTGTGTTTTATAAACTGTGAAGCACTGTGCAACTGTGAGCATTATCAGTATTAGTACTGTAATCATAGCTGTCCTTTGTAAAGCACTCACAGTGTGCCAGCCTGAGCTTTACATCTCCTGCCACTTAGCCCTTACAGCAACTTTCTGGAACTCAGATGAGAAAACTGAGGCTCAGAAAGGTAAGGTAACTTGCCCAAGGTCACACAGCTGGTTAAACCAGGCAGTCTGACTCCAGCGCTGGAGTGCTTACCTGCTGCACTTATTGCCTCCCTGTTCTAAGCAGGGGGACAGATGGGTATGCCCCAGCGAAAATGGGGACCCTCCTCACCCTTGATTGGTAACTTATTTTTTCACTGCCAGGTAACTTATTCCTGGAATTCCAAGAGGAGTTGGAGCGAGTCTATAAGGTCTACTGTACCAGCTATGACCAGGCCTTGCAGCTGGTGGAGACGTACCGGAAGGAGCCAGAACTGCAGCGGGAGATCCAGGGCATCATTGAGGCAGTGGTGTGAGTAAAATGACGACCATTGACCTCAAGTCTCACCCCTACTTAGTGCTGCTCACCTTGCTTTAGGAGTATATCAGTATTAGTAGCTGTATCAGGTTATGCTGCAGAGACAACTCCAAACTCTCAATAGCTTAAAACAACAAAGGTTTCTATCTTCCTTATGTTCCATGCTCACTGCAGGTTGACTTGGGGCTCTGCTTTCCATCATCTTTACTCCAGGGCTCAACCTGACATCAGCCACTGTCTGGAATATTGCCAGTCACTGTGGAAATGGAAAAGAGCTCTGGAGGGTCTTATACTTGTAATTACGTACTCAGCCCAGAAATGATATCCATCACTACTTCATTAGACAGGACTAATCACATGGCTTCATCCAACCATTAGGAAGCCAGGGAGTGCTGTCTTCTCACATGTTCAGGAGGTGGGAAAGCAGAAACATTTGGTGAACGGCACTCATGATTATCACCGGGAAGGGCAACGAGGTGGTGGGAACCATGTGTTGCAAGCAACAGTGGAGGGAAACAGGTGTGTATCACCTGGGGAGCCTTCTCTCCAGATGGCTGAAATCCCACCACATGGAAAAGGATCAGACAGCCCAGAGCTGGCACCAGAGGATGGAAGATCCAGGGAGGCAGATGTAGGGGAAAAAGATTTTTTTTAATTTAAATTTTGAATAGGTAGTATAGTCACATGGTTTAAAAACTTAAAAATATAAAAAAATTATACCGTAAAAAAATCTTCCCAACCTCGTTCCTTCATTCACCCAATTACTATGTTCATACCCCTAAATGTAAGGTAACAACTTTAAATTTCTTATGTATCTTTGCAGGATTCGTTTATGTATATACAAGCAAATACATGTACTCCTTGTTTTCTTGCCTTTTTAATGAAAGTTTGTATCTTGTTGTTGTTGATTTTTTCTTTGTTTTGTTTCTTCACTTACAGTATATCTTGGAGGTCTTTCCATTTTAATACATACATATATCCAAAAATACCAAACCAAGCCTGTTGCCATCAAGTCGATTCAAACTCATAGCAACTCTACAGGACAGAGTAGAACTGCCCCATACGGTTTCCAAGGCTGTAATCTTTACGGAAGCAGACTGCCACATCTTTCTCTTGCACAGCGGCTGGTGACTTAGAACCGCCAACCTTTTGGTTAGCAGCAGAGCGCTTAACCACTGCGCCATCAGGCCTCCTTATACATACATACATGATCCTTTTAACAGCTGCATGCTATGCCACCATGTGACTGTTCCACAGGTTATTTAACTAGTCCCCATTAATGGACATTTGGTTTGTTTCTACTCTTTTGTTAATACATATAGTGCTACAGTGATTATTTATGAACATATGCCGTTTCACCCAGGTACAAGTATTATCTGTAAGGTAAGCTTCCAGAAATGGAATTGCTAGGCCAAAGGAAATATGCATTGGTTATTTTGATAAACATTGAAAACTTTCCCTCTGTAAAGGTTGTAACAATTTACATCCCTACCAGCAACGTTTGACAGTGTCTCTTTCCCCATAGCCGCACCAGCAGAGTGAGCTATCAAACTTTAGGATATTTGTCACTAGAATAGGTCAAAATTGTGTCTCCAAATGGTTTCATTTTGCATCTATCTTATTATGATTGAAGTTGAGCATCTTTTTGTATGTTTAAGGGTTATTCGTGTTTCCTCTTCTGTGACTTGTTCTGCTGCTTTTTGGTTCTAAAAGGAGTTATATCTTCCCCAGAACAAGCCCACTAAAGGGAGAGAGATGATCATTTTCTAGAAATCATAGTAATGTAAGAAGACCAGAGGTTGTGGTTTTTGTCTTACTTGTACATTCCCTTTACACCCAAGAGAAAGACAGTGTAGACTTAGGTCTTTGAAAATGAGATTCTACCACGTGGCACCTCCTACTAATTCCCCTCTTCCTCTTCCTTACCCTTTATTTACCGCTCAATCCTCCTCCTTTCCCCTGAGCCTCTTTTTCGAGTACCCATGTCCTAGCCCAGTGCCCTGTCCTGCCTCCAAAGAAAATACTCATTTCTCCTTTTGGTTCATCCCTTAATGGATCTTACTATAGTAGGCTTTTGCAAGGGTCGCTATACCCATTTCTACAGGAATCAGACAAGTAACAGAAATGAGGAAGGCATGGTGCCAAATGTGGGGCAATAGGGGCTGATGGAGACTGTGGCAAACCACAGAGCACAGATCCTATGTGAAGAGTGCACGTGCAGTCCACCCTCAGCTGATTGTTGCTATATCAAGTAGCTTTTGCTGCATAACAGACCACTCCAAAACATAGTGGTTTAAAACAAGCATTTATTTTGCTCACATTTCTTCATGTTAGTAATTTAGCTGGGCTCAACCAAATAATTCTTCTGGTCCTGGCTAGGCTCCCTCATGTGACTGAGATCAACTACAGATCACTTTTGCTGATCTTGGCTAGATTCTCATGTATCTGGGACACATAAACTGACTCAGCTCTGGCCACATGGTCTCTCATTTTCCATCAGGATAGCTTGTTCCAATGGTGGTCAAAGGGTTGAGAGAGAGGAAGCATGCCAAGACCTTTGGGGACCTCAGCTGGGAACTGGCATGCTGTCACTCAAATCAACTCGTAAAGCCAGCCCAGATCCAAAACCCATTGCCGCTGAGTTGCTTCCAACTCATAGCCAGTCTATAGGACAGAGTAGAACTGCCCCATAGGGTTTCCAAGGAGTGGCTGGTGGATTCGAACTGCTGATGTTCTGATTAGCAGCTGAGCTCTTAACCACTGCGTCACCAGGACTCCAGCTCAGACTCAAGGGGTGAAGAAATTGACTTCACCTTTTGGTGGAAGGACCTCCAAAGTCACATTCAAAAGGATGTGGATACAGGGAGGGGAATCATTGCAGCCCTTTTTTACAAACCATCTGCCTCAGTTGCCGTGTGGGATTGCTGGTCTGCGTGGCCAGATCCTCTGGTTTTTCAAGAGAAGCCAGAAAACTTGTATATGTTGGCATCTAGTTTAGACTTTTTAGAAACTGTGTCTGTGGACGCTGCTGGCACAGAAGCTGCTGTCTGTCATGTCCTCTGCACTCTGGTCTTTCCCAGCTAGCCCAGGCCTTCTGTGGGCTCTGGATCCAGCTCTGCCCCTCACTCACCTTGGGAGAGCTGTTTCACATCTCAGCACCTACTGTCCTTACGTGTAAAGTGGGAGTAATGATGGCACCTGATGGGGGCATAAACTCATTGCACACAAGTGACAATAAATCCCAGGAATTGGAATTATCTTGGCTAGACGGGGATTACATTTTCCGAGACACACGGTGGTTCCATCAAAGAAGAAAATTTTACCAGATAATGTTAAAACAGGCAAGGAGGACTTTTATTCAAAAAGAAGTGGGAAGGGAAGGGAAGGGAAAAGGGGAAGGAGCAGTGTAATGGGGGAGGGGGCTAGCAGAACTAAGTCCGAGGTCCAGCTGTACCAAAGCAGAGATGGAGGAGGTTTTAAAGGAAAGTTAAGGGGATTGACACCGGGATGGACCAGTGATCCACTAAGGTTGTGATCAGTGCTTTTCTGTTCAGAATGTTTCCTTTCTTAGGCCACGTGAATCCTGAGGGCGGGTGGAGACTAGAGGTGGGTGCTGAGGGGTGTGGGGAGAGGGAGACAAGGCTTGGACTGAGTAAGGAAGGTTGAGGAGATAAGGAAGGGAAACACCTGTTCTAAAGTTATTTAAACAGAGTAGATCATTAAGTAGATCATCATACATGAAGAAAGCAAGAGGTCATTAAAAAGACAGGAAAGAAAGAAAAGACCAAAATGGACGTCAGAAGAGACTCTGAAACTTGCTGTTGAACGTCGAGTAGCTAAAGCAAAAAGAAGAAAAGAACTGAACAGAAGATTTCGAAGGGAGACTAGAGAAGACAGAGTAAAGTATTATAATGACATGTGCAAAGAGCTGGAAATACAAAACCAAGCTGAAAGAACTGAAGAAAAATTCAACCCTCAAATTGCAACAGTGAAGGATTCTATGGGGAAAATATTAAATGACACAGGAAGCATCAAAAGAAGATGGAAGGAATACACAGAGTCATTATACCAAAAAGAATTGGTGGACGTTCAACCATTTCAAGAGGTAGCATATGATCAGGAACCAATGGTACTGACAGAAGAAGTCCAAGCTGCACTGAAGGCATTGGCGAAAAACAAGGCTCCAGGAACTGACGGAGTATCAGTTGAGATGTTTCAGCAAACAGATGCAGCGCTGGAAGTGCTCACTCGTCTATGGCAAGAAATTTGGAAGACAGCTACCTGGCCAACTGACTGGAAGAGATCCATATTTATGCCTATTTCCAAGAAAGATGATCCAACCAAATGCAGAAATTATCGAACAATATCATTAATATCACATGCAAGTAAAATTTTGCTGAAGATCATTGAAAAGTGGCTGCAGCAGTATATCAACAGGGAACTGCCAGAAATTCAAGCTGGATTCAGAAGAGGATGTGGAATGAGGGATATCATTGCTGATGTCGGATGGATCCTGGCTGAAAACAGAGAATACCAGAAAGATATTTACTTGCGTTTTATTGACTCTGCAAAGGCATTTGACCGTGTGGATCATAACAGACTATGGATAACACGACGAATAATGGGGATTCCAGAACACTTAATTGTGCTCATGAGGAACCTGTACATGGATCAAGAGGCCGTTGTTTGGACAGAACAAGGGGATACTGCATGGTTTAAAGTCAGGAAAGATATGTGTCAGGATTGTATCCTTTCACCATACTTCTTCAATCTGTATGCTGAACAAATAATTCAAGAAGCTGGACTATATGAAGAAAATCAGGGCATCAGGATTGGAGGAAGAGTCATTAATAACCTCCGTTATGTAGATAACACGACTTTTCTTGCTGAAAGTAAAGAGGACTTGAGGCACTTAGTGATGAAGATCAAAGACCACAGCCTTCCGTGTGGATTACACCTCAACATAAAGAAACCAAAAATCCTCACAACTGGAC